CAGCGCGGAAGTGCTGGTAGTTGCTGTCCCGGCGCCAACCGTTGAAACCGAGGTCGCCGGATGCTGTGCGACCTGTTGCGCCGGAACAGCGGGTAGGTTCGGTGCCGGAAGTGCCGCCGGCCGCGGCTGGTGCGCTTTCGGCACCCAAATGGTAGAACTCGAGTTGTTTTTTTGGTGTTTTTTGGTTTTTGTTGAAGATGAAGTTGCAACAGAGCTGGTTGCTGCTGAATCTGCACCGGAAACTTGAAAAGCCGCAGGTGGCTGCGGTGCGGTGCTGGTGGAAGAAGACGATGACGACCGTGATGAAAAAGTGTTTGTCGATGTCGCGGCCCCTCCCTGCGCCGCTGTAGTTGCCGATGGCGCAGGAGGGTCGAGGAGTCACGACCCGGCGATCTTTCCCTTCGCCTTCGTGATATACTCCTCCACCTTGGCGACCTTCTTCGCCATCTGCTCCTTCACCTTTGTAGACTTGGCTTTCTTGGCGTACTCCTGCACCTTCTTCAGGCGGTCCTCCTGGAACGCCAAATACTTTTCCGGGTGCGTCTCCAAGAAGCTGTCCATGGCCTTTGCGTAGTCCTTTTCGGTGTGGGCCTTGTCGCAAAAGCCAGTGTCTCGAAGGTTGGCGCAGTTTGCCCCCGCCGGGCACGGCTGCTTCTTCTTCCTTTCTTTCTCGGGAGTTCGCTCTTCCAGCGGAGCGCCGCCGCCGAAGTGCGACAAACCCCGGGTCGCGGGTCCACTCGCAGCGTCATCTCCAGACTTCCCGGAGCGCCAGGCCTCGTTGATCAACGCGTGATGGGACTTGTCACTGTCCCCACCGTTGACCTCGCCCAGAATCGTCAACAGCTCCGCAAGGTGGCTACCTTCGCCCGCCTTGTTCGGAGTGTGCTTCCCGTCGACGTATCGCTTCTTGTCCGGAATTTGGCAGCTGCGGACCAAGGAGATGAACCCGGGCCAGGTGTAGGACTGCTTCTTTACCTCGATGCGCAGGCCGTGCACGTGCGACGGCTCCACGCACATCGCGTTCAGCGCCGTGCTGATTTTCTGCGCGTCGGTCTTCTTTCCATCGTCCGAAATCTGGTCCAGCCGCTTGAACGCCACGTCCAGCATGGCCATGAAGACGCTGATCTCCTGGCCGTCCAAGCGCTTCACCTTCGGCAAAAGAACATCCGTTTTCTCGAGGATGTCCGCAACGAAGGGCGCGAAGTGGTCTTCCAGCTCGGTCATGATGGTGGTCAGATCGCGCGAAGCGTTCCCGACCAAAGCAGCCTCACCCGCGTGACCCGCAAAAGCCTTTCCCATTAGCTGCCCGCCGAGCGTGGTCGGCGTGGCTCCCAGCTGCAGGAGCTCATGGGCCCACAGGTAAACTTCTTCCTTCCACTTCCGCATGCCGAAGTCTTTGCGCAGCGGCGGAGTGGTTAGCTTTTTCAGCAGCTCCTTCTGGATCGGATCCAGCGCCGCTGGCTTGCGCTGCGCGCTGTGCAGCGAAGACCAGTCGATGCGGTGCGCGCGCTCTGCTCCTTGCCCGACGGTAACCATCGGAATCGTCTCAGGAGTCAGCAGGGCGCAGTCACCCTCTTCGCCGTCAGAACCGGTGCTGTTATTAGTGGTCTCGGAGGAGGATGCTGCAGCGGCACCCTGCTCCGGCTGTAACTGCCGGCCAGGCAGTTTCTGTGCGGCCTCGAGGTCATCGCACTTCTCGAGAAGTTCCATCTCGACCGCGCCGAGCTTCTCGTCGTGCTCATGCTCGAGCTCCGTAAGCGCGGCCCGCAGCGTAGCGAGTTCGCCTTCGTACTCCTTGCGCAGCTGCTGCAGCTGCAGCTCGTACTTGGCCTTCTCTTCTTCGGTGATCCGCTTCTGTTCTTCGCGGACGATGGCCGCAATCCGCTCCCGCTCCGCAGCGGTAGCAGCAGCTTCTGCTGCGGCCTTCTCCTCCGCCGCCTGTGCAGCTGCGCGCGCCTCGGCGGCAGTCCGCTCCTGCTCCTCGAGGAGCTCGCGGCGGATCTGGTCCCGCGACTGCAAGAACCCGAAGCAGCTCATCTCGGCCTCACTTAGTGACCGCCGTCCTTCCTTTGGTCGCTCTGGGGCCTCACCATGTCCAAAACCAAGTAGCAAAAACGCGGAAAGCCGCCCGCGGCTAGAGCGTCTACGATCCGTAGACGGCCTGCCAGCCCGGGAGGCGGAAACGATCGAAAACCGAGAACGCGGACTGATCGATCTTGTGCGAACAGGTCTCGCCTGTGGTTTTGCGAACAGACTGAACGAACGACACCTCAGGGGTGGCGGTTTTAGTGTGTATCTAGCCTCAAAACTACAGAAAGCAGGAAAATCGGTCCGGTTCAAGAGCGTTCGTTCTGACGTCGCTCACAAGACGTCTTTCGCTCGCGCTTCACATTCGCAGAAGCGGAAAAGCAGAACAAGTGTCCAAAATCCTCTGTCTCTGTATCGTTCAAACACAAACGTGGCCTGGCAGCAACCGCTGCCAGGGCTGCAGTCTCTAAGCGCCTCAACTGCAGGCAAAACACCTCTTGCGCAACACTGGCCGTGATGCCAGCACCTGCAAACGCCAGGCGGCGCCAGTAAATTCACCAGCCGCAGGACCGTATGCGCCCCGCGGGCGCCAGTAAAATTGCAAGCCACCGAACAAACTGCGCCGGCATGGTGCAGCGGCCTGGTCTGCGTGGTGGTTTTTCAACAGAGCGTGTTCCGCGATATTGCTGAGATCCTCACTAGGATTTAATATCGATAAAAACAGATAGAGCATGCGCATAATGCTGCGCATCAGCGATATCATCTTAGCAATTGTGGTGCTGGTGGGGTGCACACCACCAGCGCCACAAATTGGCACGCCTGCGCCTGTATATCGTAGATTTTACAGCCTTAGCGCTTCAGGGTCGTACTTAGCTGGTTAAGGTCGTGAATATCGCTAGAGTCGTGGGCCAGGAGTGGGGGGAGAGAATCGAGAGGGATTCGCGTACTCTGCTCGTGTTTCGAGGATATCCGCATGCTATGGCGGACGTGGACTGACAGTGCGCATCTTCCTTTGCTGTTTTAGGTTGGTTCTACTATATCTGGTTCCTCGACGGAGGTCGTCGAGTGGTTCTGCCGCATTGGGAAGCGTGTTGTCAGTGCGTTGCTCAGATAGTTCGATGCTATTTAACATCTGTGATGTGAAGCGTTTTTTTAGTTTTATGAGGAGTTTTTGTATTTTTTCAAGATTTGCATTTTTTTCCATTTTTAAAAATATGAGGAAAATCGGTTAGCATGTGGCAAAATTGATCCACAAAAGTAACGCATATTACTCAATATAAAGTCTAATTGGTATCTGCCACACGTTATGCGATATCTTTTACAATTTTCAGGAATTGAGTGAATTTCAAATCTTATGAGAATTTTGCAAAAACCTGAAACGATGTAAACTATGGACAATCAGCCTTGTTCAAAGTAATGCAAAGCGCCCAAAGATAAAAACACCAGCAATCTATTTGCCTTGTGTGCCTTCTTATGAAACTATTTTCCTTTTTCCCAGATTTCGGGGCCTGGCTTATCTGCAAGGGTTTTGGAAAGGGGCCCATGCGGGGGGCCTTTTGTGGAAGAGCTTCTGGGGGCTTATCAAGGAAAATGGACATAAGGGCTTTCCATTAGCCCCCCCCCCCCCCATGCGGGTCCGGAATTTGCGCCTTGATGCCCCTGCCCCAAGCAGGAAGCGCACCCCTGCGGCGCCGATCGGGCACCCCATCCTCGAACCTGGCCGAAGCGGGGCCCCCCATGTGGAGAGGAGGCCTGTCGCCACCGGGGGTCCCCGCAAGGGCCGCGTGGCCCCACGGGTTCAACCCCCGCAAGACCCCCCGCCGGGCCGCGAATTCGGGTCCTACATTTCCCCCAACCAGGGCGGATATCTGCCTGTCGCGGGGGCCGGCCCGGAGCCGGAATGTATCTGGCGCTGGACCCCGGCGAGAAGCGGAAGTCCGATCGTTGCGGGGCCGCAACTCGGCTTGGGAATTTGGCCCTCGCGGGGCCCCCGCCCGGCTGCGGCGCTCCTGCCCGAAGCGGGAATTTGCCGCCTGCGGGACCGCCGCCCGAGGCGAGCGGAACTTTGACCTTTGCGGGGCCCCCGCAAGAAGCGGGGGAGCCTGGCCCTCGCAAGTTCCCCGGCCGCGCCGGAAATTTGGCCTCGGCCAAGCCCGCCAACGCCACCGCCGCCAGGGTCGGCAACGTGACCCAAGCGGGGCCCCCGCCCGGGGCGGGAATTCGACCCATGCGGCGCCTCCGCAGGGAGCGGGAGTTGGACCCTCGCGAGGCCCCCGCCCGGGCCGGGAGTTTGACCTCGCCGTGTTGTTTCCCGGTCCGGGAGATTGACCCTCTGTGGGCCCGAGCCGGGAACCCCACCCTCGGAGGGCCCGGCCCGTCTTCGCGATCCGTCTTCTATGCCCTCGGCGGGAGGACGGGGCGGAACCGCACGCACCACGTAAATCATCCTTCCCCGGGTGGCCGCCCCGCGAATGGATTTTGGAAAAAGCCTAGCTTTCCCGCCAACCGCGCGTGATTCTCATTCTGCTAGACAAACTTACGTTCAGTGCAATCACTAACTCCGCGTCGTTCTGCAGTGCTGCGGGATTTTTTGGCTAACTGAGTTCGTGCCGAGATCGCGCACCGGGAAGACGCAGAGGAGTGGGAGCTTTTTCTAACTATTTTTCTTGGTGCTCCTACTCGGTCACATATTTTCAGGGATTTTGTAGAGCGCAATTTGAATGCCGCATGCGCACTCTGTTTCAACGAGACCATGCGACCCACGTTTTTGATAGTAGATCCCAGTCAGCTACGTGCTTGCGGGTGTTCTCAAAGAAAGAAAAAGCCATGAGGAGCAAAGAAAATCGGTCCACATTTTTTTCTCCTGTATGCCCATAAAGTTTGCCAATGGACTATCGGTATCAAGCCTTCGTTTTTCTGCGCGCAATCTTGTAACAGTAACTCCATCGAGATCGAAACTGTCACTCACCATCAGGTCGGATTTTCGGTAATCTAGTCTCACCCCAAGAACACTAACCCCGGCCATTTCGAAAGCGCAGCAAATATCTAGGAAATTCTTCGTTCCCCATTGCTAAGCGGTATCGCTCAGGGAGGGGATGAACAAAGATTTCAAAACGAAATGCAAACTGTGTGCGCACGGCAAATTAGCTTTTCCAAATTGAATGAATAGCGAGCGTTCTGCTTGGTACGCTGAGCGTGATTTCGCAAAAACGGTTCAAGATCGTACATTGCTTACATAGCACGTTGTTTTTTCTCGTCCGATTGGTATTTATGACGTCGTTAGATGACGTCGTCGTCCTTACATCTATTCATTAAAGAAATTCACCACCGACAATACCCGCCTCGCCCTTTATTTTAGTACAACACATCATCATGGCACGACACTTCCTCTCACTTCTTCTGTCGCTTGCTGCGAGCGACCGAGCAGAGGCCGGCATGCCGATTGACATCGCGCTGTACCCGAAGTGCGTGCAAACTGCCTGCGAGGAATCGGAGAAAGGCAAAAACGATGCCGACTGCTGTGCGATTCCGTGGATGGCGGGCTGCAGTGCGGGGCACAAGTACTACGCGGGAGCGTACGGCTGCGGGTGGTCTCTGGAGTGGCTGGGCGCGCGGAGCACGTGTTGCATAGCGGATGCCGCTTACCCCACCGGCGACTACGACGTGCAGGCGCGCTGGAACCAGTTTGCGACCGAGGCCGATAAACAGGTGGCGCTCGCGGAAGAGGCAAAGGAGGCCGAGCGGCAGAAAGCCGCGGAGGAACGAGCGGCGAAGGCTACCACGACCGCGCAGCGCCACATCGACCAAACCAAATGCGCTGACCACGGTGGACAGGACTGCTGCGCGCACGACTCGTGGGGCGAGCCACAGCGCTGCTCGGGTGGTTACACGGCGGTCCCGGACAGCATGGGTACCTGTTCGTCCACATGGCCCGGCTGCGCCTACCACAAAGGCGGTATCGGTTGCTACGCTTGCTCCTCCACCACCGGTACTTCCCCATCGCAGGCCGTGTCGCAGCGAACGGCGCAGTTTGACCTGTCGAAGTGCAGTGACTGGGGAGAAGACTGCTGTGCGTCGCCAACGTGGGGCGAGGCTCAAACCTGCAAAGACGGCTACGTCCCCATTCCGGACCCCGCGGGACAGTGCAGCTCCAGCTACGGCCCCTGCCCCTCGCACGAGGGCGGCATTGGGTGCTACGGCTGCTACCCGGCCGTGCTTGCGGCCGAGGTCGACCCGGGGCACGACGGTAGCAAGTGCACCGACGTGGGCAAGGACTGTTGCGCGAGCGCGTCTTGGGGCGAGCCGCAAACCTGTGCCGAGGGGTATGTGCCCATCGCGAGTCCACCGGGAACGTGTCCGTCCTCGTACGCGATGTGCATCACGATCCAGGGCGGCCGCGGGTGTTACGGCTGCTACCCGTCGGGAACGACGCAAGACCAGTCCTCGTACGACTTGTCCAAGTGTTCCGTCCGACTGGGGAGATGACTGTTGTGCGCACTCCTCGTGGGGCGAACCGCAGACCTGCCGGGACAACTACCTGCCCATCCCCAACGCGCGGGGTCGCTGCACCTCTTCGTGGCCGCACTGCGCCCCGCATGAAGGCGGCATTGGCTGCTACGGCTGCTACCCCCCGGGAAACAAAGCCATCCAGGACGTGAACGCGGCTGCGGGGCAGCACGACGGTTCCAAGTGCAGCAATGCGAACTGGGATTGCTGCGCTCACTCGTCTTGGGGATCGCGGCAGACGTGCTCTGATGGGTACGTCGCCGTTCCGAATCCGCCCGGGTCGTGCACCACACCTAGGGATGCGCGTCAGTGCGCCCTGAAAGACGGTGGCATCGGGTGTTACGGGTGCTACCCCGCGCACGCAGCCGTGGCGAGCGTGTATCGGGACACCACGGCGCAGCAGCACAACCAGCCCGCGGTTGTCGACAAGTGCCGGTCCAAGACGGATTGCAACTGCAACTCGAACAACGCGGACATCGCCCCGAAGGTGTGGGACGCTCCCGGCCACTGTCACGAAGGCACGTGCTATCACGGCTACACGGATGATTCCCGCTGCGCGGACACGAAGGCCTCGCAGAGCTACCGCGAGCTAAACGACGGGTCCTCGCGCAACATCATCGGGGAGCATGCGTGGTGCTACGGCGGGCGTGTGGACTCGCGGTGCCCGCTGAAAACAACGCCCGCTTCGGCCACTAGCGGCACTTCTTCCAGCGCGTCAACGGCGCACTGCGGAACAAGGGTCTGGCGATCGGACACGACGGCGTATGTCCTCGGTGCCCCGGTATGCATTGCAAATATGTCTGGGTCTGAAGGATGCAAGGTTTGTCATGCTCGTCTGGCATTACTGAAGAATTTGTGATACGTGTCCAAGAAGAGATCCTTTTGCTTGTGATACAAAGCGCAGTTTGTCATGCGGAAAGCGCAACACTAAGCCGCGCAAATGTTTCTCATGCTTTTCTGTGCGTTACAGAAAGTTCACTATTCGCAACTCAGCATTACAAGTTTGCAGACCCAGACATATTTGCCCTGGATACCCGGGTAGTCGCGAGTGCGGCGCTTGCGGCGGCGTGGTGGCAACCTACGACGCCTGTATGGACGCGTCGCGGGCGGGGAAGACCTTTTTGGGTATCAACGGTCTCCCGGCCCGGGAGAATTGGGGCGGACCCTCGGGGTGCCACATTCAGGAGCGGGCCAACTTCCAGTGGAACGACCGCACCAACGGCGATGGTGTGAGCGGTCACACGCCGGTGTGCATTCACCAGGGTACTACTGCGGATTCCGCCGGAACAAGCACGGACGCCTCTTCGATGATCATCCACGAAGCGGACACGGAGTCGTGGAACGAAAATGGCCCGTACGGAGCGCAGGGATACCGCGCCCCGGCCGATGTCGAGGGCAACGCGGAATGTCGGAAAAGCGCCTGCGAAGAATACGAGAAGGGGCGCGTCGACACGGACTGCTGCTCCACTCCGTCCACGGCTTTTTGCGCCGCCGGCCATCGCTACCAGGCGGGCACGGAAGGCTGCGGCTGGGGCCTGGTGCAGGGCCAGCGCAGTACCTGCTGCATTCCCGACACCAGCTACCCCGCGGGCAGCGCGGGCGCCGATCTGCACACCGGAACAACCGCGAACACCGCCAACAGCCTCGCCGCATCCGCGCGATCCGCCATTCGGGGCAGCGGCAATCCGGACGCGGAGACCAAGAAAATGGAAGACGCAAACTTCAAAACCGTGGACACGGCGACCACCGCCGCGACCGTCACGTTCGAAGTGAAGCAGGCGGTCGAAGGCTTGTCCGTGGGGGAGCGGCTCGAGTGCGTCCCCGCGGCCTGTCGCGAGTTCAAGTCCTCGCTGGCCGATAACGACTGCTGCGCCATCCCGCGCATGGCCTTTTGTGGGCCGGGTCACCGGTACGTCCCGCTCGTGAAAACCTGCGGCTACGACCTGATACTGGACCTGGGGCAGCGGACCACCTGCTGCGTTGCGGACCTGAATGCGATCTACCAGCAGAACGGTGATTCGGGGAAGGACTGGGCGATGCGGTTGTACGAAGCCGGCACCTTCGCGCAGGCGGCCGAGCCCGTGTCGGAAACGGACAGAACCGCGGTGGAAGCCGTGGCGGCATCCGTCCGAAGTGAGGCCGCGCTGGGGGGCGCGCAGCCGCAAAGCGGGGTGGTCGGCACGATCCGGACGACCGAGATCCTGCCCGCCGACGTTGACGTGGCTGCGCTGAACGAGTCCTCCGACTACAAGGACGCGAAGGCGACCGGGTTGGGGCTGGCCCTGCTGATCGAGCGCCCGCACGACAGTATCAGCGTGGCAGTGAACGTAGCGGGAGTACTGTCTCGCCGCAGGCTCCTGCTCGCTGGGCCCCCGGACGACTCTACAACTTCCAACCACCGCCGCCTCGACGCGGTCACCGTGGAGACCAAGTTCACGGTGAAGAGCCCCGTGGAGGGGCGCGGCGCCGCGCTTGCCGCGGCGCTTAACGACACCATGTCGTCGAGCCGGGTTCAAGCGTTCACGCAGGAAGAGGCGGAGAAAAAGAATCTGATGGGCGGCAGCTACCGCATGGACGCGGTCAGCAGCGTCGGCGTCACCACGCACGGCGGCGCGAAAACCGACTGCGACACGAAGCTACGGACCGGCTACGTACCCACGGCCGCGGACCTAAATCCGTCGCAAGCGAATCCGGCCAGCACAACCAGCACCGGCAGCACGCGGTACGTGACCGCGGGCGGCCGCGTGGTGGAGCGCGACGCGCCGGTCGGTACTTCATCTTCCGACGAGAGCGGGGGGACAGGCGACACGGCGGACGATGAAGGATCAGCCGTAGTTCTGCTCGCGATTGGCGGAGGCCTCGCTCTCTTCGCGTTCGGAGTCGTGCTCGGAAGCAGGTTTGTGACCTGGGGCTACGCGGGCAAGAAGGAAACAACCGTCAGCGGTTCGGAGCAGGAGCGGAATTTCGCCCCGCAAGCCCCGCCCACCAACGGTGATCTGGCCACTAGCCAACCGCAAAGAACGGGATTATTCCCCCAGCCGGCAATGCCGAACTTTGCCGGGTTTTCTCTGAGCCAATACCAGAACAACAACCAAGTGGCGCCGACGGTGCAGAAGAACGGCATGAATTACGCGGGGTCTTCGGGGCAACCGTACGTCTCTCATGCGGGAATGATGCAGCGCCAGCAGCAACCAACGATGCAGTTGCAGCCGATGGCACCACCAGCTCCGCCCCGGCGACCGGTCACAACACTGCCGCAGCAGCCTATGGTCATTACGCAAGCAGGCGCGACGAGCCAGACCGTGGAGCGGAAATCAAAGAAGAAAAAGAACAAGGAGAATCGAGATTCTTCTACGGACCGCGATCCGAGGAGTTCCTCGCGTCGGTGAGCGCCGTTCTTTTGAAATTTGGCAAGCAGTACGAGAGACGCTGGGTTGCAAGTTAAATTAGATTTTCTGGGGCGTTGAGTATTCAAGCCTCTCAACAACAACACATCTGTACCTTTCTGGCATGTTGTCAAAATATTCAACTCTGCATGGAGTACCGTAGTTTCCTTGCGCCTCGTAACAAGTGTACAATATTAGCATATGATTTTTCGGCGCGTAGGCGGCTCATACCCATTGGTTCTAGTTTCTTCGACATGGTACTATCTTCATAATGTGTTTTTTTTGTTTTGCTGTACAACCACAAGCAAAACGCACAAGCATCTAGCGGTTAAAGGACACCTTCATCCACGGGAAGGTAGCACTGGCAGGCCGTCTCTGCGTAAAGCAGAAGTGAAGTCCGAAACTTCGACTGTACTGCCTTAATGTCGTCTGTGTTTATTTTTTTTTGCCACGAATATGCAATGTGTATGTGGCTCTGTAAGTACACCAAATTATGATGTGTGACTCGAAGTTTATTAGCATGTACCACTGCAAATGGACCAGCAAGAGGAAGAGCTGGACCGGGAGATCATTGGTCGAACGTCTTTTCCCGTGTCGGCAACAAATGATAATGTGTAGAAAATGTTGAGTACAGCATTCATCTTCAGGTTGCATGTGTAGCCTGGATGACGAAAATAGCAAATGGAGCATCATCAAACGTGATAAGAGAAAGACTGTATCCGCCCGCGTCGGAGGTGGGTGTTCAAAGAGCACGTTTCTTCTTCGAGAAATTTTTGCTTTTGACGTTCTTTCGGTTCCGATTCCGTACGCTCGCAGCCGATCGTCAGTATGTTGGTAATGGTTTTCTTTGACAAAATCGCCATGGTGTGATGCCGACGTAGAAAGAATGCGAGGCACTTCTTTCGCGTCACGCTTTCGCACGTCCTGCTGCAACGTGTATGATGAAGCGAGAAAAACATCTCTCTCGTTCTGCTTGCTGATCTACATCTTCGCAAGAGTGGTGCTGCGTTGCCACGCAAAGAGTACTTAGTCGAAAGATGAACCTGTCCGTATTTTTTGCACTTTTGACCCTCGTCGGCTGGTGTGGCACGGCACTGTACGAGCAGGTTTTCAATGTGGCGCACCCGCTAGCCGACATCACCGCAAACTGGCTGCAGGGGCGCCCGGATCCTCTCGCGACCCTGGGCTTCGATCGGAGTGCTTTGGAAAAGCTACAAGAAGCCAAGTGGCAGCAGGCGCTTGAGGTACTAGGTTGTAGTTTTTTTGACCTTTATTTATTTGCAGCTCAAGATGAAAATGCAGCAGTTTTCGATTCAACAGAAAGCTTTGACGTTCTTCTCACAGATGTTGATGTGCTACTAACATCTCAATTCAGGTGGCCATCGAGAAACTGATAGATCGACAACCGGAGCGCGGAGCGGAAATTCAGAATGCGTTTTTGCTGTTATCTGACGCGGGCGTCCGCGTGTCCTTCTTCGAGCAGCGCATTGCCATCGAGGGGGCGGTCCGCTCGCTCCTCGCCCTTGCAGCGCTTGTGTCAGCGGGACTGGTGTGTCTGTATCTCCGGGTGTTTTACTTGCAAGTTGTGCACCGCGCGGAGCCCTCCTACCTTTCCCAATCCGGCTCTACAACTTCTCCGGCGCAACATCATCCAAACGCTATTGCGCGGGGCAGCAACGCCGAGCATGCGGGAGGCCGGATGGATCGCTTGGCGAGGTTTTTCAACCTGGCGGAAACGGCGGGTGCTGGCGAGTCCCTCTTTGCGCCCTTGTACACGTTCTGTGCCGCGTACTTCGCCGTCTCGCGGCGGATTTTGAAGTTTGTTCTGTACTCCCTCCCGCGGTGTACTTTGGATTTCCTTCTGCTCGGCGCACCCTGGAAAAATCGAACGGAAGGGGGTGCGGGCAGGACGAGCTTTTGGGAAACAATCCTCACCACTCTCGACGAGGAATTCTTTCCCGACAAAATGCCGCAGGCCGCACCGACAGACACGCTGCTCGGGCAATTGCTGCGGGAGAACTTGCGGCATTTGGAGTTTCGGTTTCCGGTGTTTCTGTATTTGTCGGAGCAGGAAACCCCGCGAGTCGGGCTCAAGTTGACGCAGAAGCGGAAGCAGGACGAACTCCGGTTTTTCGTCACCGACGTGGGTAGCCGGAGATGGCCCCGGGTGGGCAGCACGCTCTTGGTGAACAACAGTAGCACGTCGGACGCGCAGCAACAAGCTGCCGACGGCAGCGCGGCGGGGCGACAAAGCGGCGGGGAGACCAGTCAGTCCGAAGCCGAAAGCGGGTCGGACACGGGTAGTGACGGCGGCGGCGGCCGGCGTGCGCTGCCTGGCTCCGAAATGCGCGCGCGGGCGCGCCGCAGTAAGCTCCTCCAGTCCACCAGTTCCCCCCTGGATCACCCGTCCGCGGACAGCCCCACCAGTTCCCTGGGGGACCACAGCGTGGACTCCTTTCCGCATGTATTCTCGCCCCAGAGCGGCCAGCAGCAATCTTCGTTGTCCTCGGGAACAAGCGGGGGGCTTCGACAACCGGGGGTCGCAGGAGCACGCGCGCCCACGCAGAAAGCCATCAGTGCCTACCACCGCGGGCTGGATGCCTCGGGGGAAACAAACGGCGACTGGCTGTCCAAGTATGTCTGGCCTGGGGACGAGATCGTGGAGGTCAACGGGCGGCTGTGCGACCGTAAAGAGATCCTGGAGGAGGCCTTCCGGGTGACGAAGGCGAAAAAGCTGGTTGTGCTGCACCTGCGACGGAGTTTAGCCGCTCACCCCGCGTTTGCGCCCTTCTTTTTCACGGTGCGCGCGACCCGGCGGGGCCCTTCCTGGGGCTTGTCGCTCACGGCGAACACGGGCGACCACAGCGAAACGCTGCGGCTCGTGCGCATCGACTTTTCCGCCCAATTCGGACCAGCCACGGATGCCGCGGCGTCGGCCGGCGGGAAAGCCGCAGCCGCCGGTAGTTTGGCGAGCAGTGGGGGAGGATTCGCGAACAGCGATATTGACGAGCAGGAACTGGATTACACTTCGGAGGAGGGAGAATTGCCGGACCCTTCGTCCTCCCCGTCGACAACCGAACCTGCGGCGGCTCACGAACAACAACACCAACGCCGAAATTTCCAAAAGCCGCAGACCAGTCTGCGTGCGCGAAACCGGTCGCGGACCGGCGGGGCCGACCGATTGGAAAAACCGTTTGGCGTGTGCCGCCCAGGCGACCGGTTGGTTTTGCTGGACAGTCGCGTGTTCGGCGCGCAGAACATGCTGCGGCACTTGGAGAATCGGCCGCTCGACGCGGAGGTGTCCTTCACATTTTGTCGCGGCTTGCCACTAATCGCCGAAGCGGATCAGAGGAGAATTCGCCTGGAAGTAAACCCCGACGTGAACAGCGGCTACTACCTGGGCGGCGCGACGCCCCCTGGGGGTACTACTACTAGCCAAGCGCTGACGCCGGATTCCCCCCTGGCGCCCTCACCGATTGAAGCGAATTTAGCGGGCCTATCGCAGCAGCCGTCCGGCGACCCGCCGCATCAGATTGTGCGAAAGAACACGACGACCTTTCTGAACAAACCGCAGCAGGTTTTTCTCGGCCTGAAGCTTGGGCGCTGTTGGGGCTGCAGCGACATCGGGGACGGGGTGTACGTAGAGCCGCGGTTTTTCCGCGACCACGAACTCGTGCAGCAGATTCCCGGAAGTAATGCGACCACCACAGAGGACCGTCCGCCTGGAGGTAGCACTGCCGGAGCGCCGTCCCCTGGTGCCGAAGACGACGGCAGCGAGCAGTCGCAGCTGCGAGGAAAGCTGGTGTCCCTGCTCGCAAAAATGGGAAACCGTATTGTTACGTTTCACCAGCAGTTGCTGTTCGGCAAAGATTACCTCCCCGCCGTCGAGGTTCCAGTGGAGCAGCGCAACGTGGTCACGCAAGTGTTGCGCCACGGCTACCTGAGCCAGATCTATCCCGGCATCATCACGCCAAATATGGTGTTGGTATCCGTGAACGGGGAGGCCAACCCTGAATTGTTCCCTTCTCTACTGAAACAGTGCCGCAGCCTCGAGTTTCGCGTGCCCTGGCAGCAGCACAAGCCCAGCAGCGGCCAAAGTGCAGCAGCGGGTAGTCAACAGCAGCAGCCCGGAGAAACAAGAAAGCAGAAGAAAAACAAAACCCGACGACGTTCTTCCCAATTCGGCCTAATCGACCAACAGAACGCCGAAGCAGCCGCGCAACTTGCGGCGGCGGAGACAAAGGTCGCGAGCCGAAAGTTTTCTTCGGCGTTCATGAAAGCGCGGGCGCAGATGTTCGAAAAGGCTTCGACCGTGCCGAACATTGAAAAAATCAAGCGTTCGGTAGGTGCTCTGGAGGAGAAGGAGGATGCGGTCGCGAAGGCTGCCGGCCAGCCACAGTTGCATCTGCATGCAGGACCATCGTCATCATCATCTAGTAGCGCCAAAGTAGTCACATCAACACCGAGGGGTACTACAACCGCTGGGAGACCGTACGAAGACGCGGCGCCCGGGGCGGGGAGAAATTTGAACAACAGCAGCTCGTCTTCGGGGATCAAGGGACAACTCCCAGCGTCCAGTCGCGCAGACAGGCGATCCTGGAAGGAGGACGCCAGGAAAGGGTCCGGCGCCGAGGACTCGTCGGCGGATTTTTTGTCGGCCGACCTTTCGGAGGATTCAGATTCCAAATCGTACTCGCACGATACTGAGCTCGCGAGGCAACGGCTCGTGTCGTCCCAACGAGCGAAGGCATCGAGGTCATTCCCTCGGCCGGAGGGTGAACAACAGGTGACTCCGTCGGTCGTCTCGGTTTTAGCTCTTACGAAGGACGAGAGACCAGCAGGCGGTGGAGCGAGCATTGCCGCTGCTGGCGTGCCTGTCCGTGCGCAAAGGAATTTACTATCGTCATCTGAGGCCGCTGTTGCTACCAGCAACGTCGACGCAACACCATTGACACTCCAGACCGAAGTCGCGAGGCAATGGAAGCGTCGATATAAATCTCTAGCTGTGGAGCACCGCACTTGCCGTCGTTTGCTTGCCGAGATGACGAAGCGTGTGGCGGAGCTGGAATATGAGGCCGACCTGCGCAAAGCGGACACTGTGCCCCCTTCTCTGGGGGCTGAGAAGCGAGAGGAAAAGAGTAGAAGTAGCAACTCGCCGGCGGCCATGCCGGTCCCTGCGGCGGACGGCTCGGATCCGCTGCTACCGGTAGACCGACTTTTGCAGGCGCGCGTGGAGTCCTTGCAGCAGCTGATCGTAATGTGTCAGTCGTTTTCAGCTTTTCCCGCTAAGGAAGATTAATTGCACAGACAAGATTCAATGTAGGATTATGAAGTGCAGACAGGTGTTCGTGTGTGTGTGGTCATGTCGTTGCGGTAGATGTGCGCGAAATGGATCATCTAGCACGATAGAGAGATCGTCGGACTGCAGAATTCTGGATATAGTACTTCGGTCGTCCGTTTGTTTCATTGGAGCTGAATAAAACAGATCACAGAACGGATCATCATTCTGAGAAAATCGCTGTAAATCGCTTTGATCTACTTTGTTCGAATAAAATGCATGCCGCCAGCACAAGTCGATCCCGAGAACAGATCACTGCACAAAAAAAGGTTCTTGCAAATGGACGGGCATTGTTGAGTCCCATGATCTTTCAAGTTTTTTCGTCTTGCACTTGATGCAACAGCGAACCTACCGCTGTCTCAGTAACATATATCGTACGAACTTGTGTAGGGCTAGATTTTCAATGTCTGTTTGAGAGCGACGTAGGACAGACCTATCCCAGGTAGATCGCATCTGCTACACGACCGAATTACATCCGCCAAGAATGTTTCGCTACAACTTTCAGGATTTTCCCACGGCGCCCGGTGCGGAAACGAGCGCCACGAGCAGTGTGCCGGCGGCCCCCGCGTTCACGACGACTGCGGAGAAGAAGTCTTTCGGGGACAGATGCGAGCGCTTGCGGGAAAATGCGATCACGGGAGTGGTCAGCACCCCTTTTCACAAAACACGGCCTATTCCCATCGTGTACACGGATTTCACGGCCTCGGGCCGCGGACTCAAGACGATTGAGGACCAGATTACGGCCACCGTGCTCCCCACCTACGGAAACACGCACACGCTGACGACGGCCACCTCGCGGCAGACCACCTTTTTCCGGACCGAGGCACGGAACATTGTCCGACACGCCCTGAACTGCTGTCCGATCAACGACGCGGTGATTTTTTGCGGCAGCGGAAGCACGGCGGCCGCGAACAAGTTCGCGAAAATTGTGGAAAGCCAAATTCGCCGGGAGCACGACAACTTCTGGGAGGCCTGCAGGACGAGTGGAAGCTCGGCGAGAAAGAAAGGCTCCGGAAGCAAGAAGCTTACGGACAACATTCGCCAGTTCTTCAAAGAGGATCGATGGGGGAGCTGCGAGTGCTCGTTGTGCAATGTGCGGCTGAAGAACGAGGCGTGCTTCCGTGCGCACCTGCAAACAACCATGCACGTCGAAAACGAAAAGAAAATCGGCGTTGGGGAGGACAGCACGACGGTAGAAGAAGGTTGTGACGTACTATTGGCCCGGGAAGCTGGTACAGAAGATGACGCATCTGCAGTTGTAGAGAAGGTGGTTACAACGGCTACTCCCTCGCGAAGGAAAACCATTTTTTTTCTCGATCCCTTCGCGCACCACTCCTCGTCGCTCCCCTTCCGAGAGTTAGCCGCGCGGTACCCGGACTTCTGCGAGTGCGTCGAATGCAACGAGGCCCTGGACGTGGACGCCTTCGAGACAATTCTGTTAGAGAAGGTAGCTTCGTACCGACGCGTGGACAACAGCACCAGCACGGCTACCTCTGCCCCGCCCGAGCTGTACGCGATCCTCTGCGCGGGGAGCAATGTCACGGGCAAGCTCCGCGACGTGGCGTTTCTGACCCAGAAACTGCACAAGCAGAACTGCCGGGCGGTGTGGGACTTCGCGGCTGCGGGCGCTCACTGCAAGATCGACGTGAACCCGAAGAATGTGCACGACGCGGGGATCGATGCCGCGTTCTTCTCTCCCCACAAGCTGCTCGGCGGGCCCGGGTGCAGCGGACTGCTGGTGGCGAAGAAGGACCTGTTGCAGGAGAACGTGGTGCCCACCGTTCCCGGCGGCGGCGTAGTTTTCTACGTGTCCGACAAGGGTCACAGTTACATCCAGAATCACGAGGAGCGCGAGGAGGCGGGGACGCCCAACATCCTCGCAGATATCAAGACGGGCATGGTCTACAAGATTCACCGAGACATGTACGACAGGATGGAAGCGCGGGAACAGGAGCTGCGAGAAAAATTCCTGCAAAACATGCAGAGCGTGGAAAACTTCTGTTTACTCGGAGGAAAAGATAATGCAGTTTTTATCCACGCTGCAAACAGTAACAGCAGTGCCAATGCTGTTTCATCAGACTCTTCTTCCAGCAGCACCAGCGCGCCGATCTTTTCCTTCCTGATCCAGCACGAGGAGCGGTACCTGCACTACAACTTTGTGTGTGCGGTTTTGAACGACGTGTTTGGAATCCAGGCCCGCGGCGGGTGCGCGTGCGCCGGACCCTATGCGCAGAAGCTGCTGGGCATGTCGGAGGCAGTGAGCGACAGCTTCGAACTCGCCCTGCAAAAGTACGGGTGCGAGGTGATCCGGCCGGGCTTCTGCCGCTTGTCGCTGCACTACACCATGACGGATCGCGAGCTGGAGTTTGTGGTCAAAGCGCTGAAGTGGTGCTGCACGCACGCGTGCGAACTTCTGCCGCTGTACACGTTCGACGTGGAGACCGGGGAGTGGCTCCACGAAGACGACGACCACCAAGCGAAGCGGAACTGGCTCGAAAGTATGGACTTGTTCAGCGGGCGGGGAGAAGGCACGTTGGGGAAATCCGTCGCGTTGGCGGGGGCTTCTGCAGCACAAGGAGAAAAAATTATGGACAAAAATTATAGTATCGAAGCATCTTCTGCAGCACCCGTAGAGCCGCCACCGAGCAGACTCAGAACCTTTGAAGATTTTGAAGTGCAGTTGTTATCGAAGATCCGAATTCCGGCGAAAAACCGGCGCTGGCCCGTGTTAGACGAGCGGGTTGCCGAGTTGTTGTGGTTTTCCTTGCCGCAGGACATGGTTCCCGAAGACATGGAGCACGGCCGCCGGAACGCGGGACAGGCGAAAAACATATTCGATCGCACGAGACCTCCTGGCGACCATGGAAAGAACAAGGCAGCGGGTGGTCTTGTTGAGCGACCAAGTAGAAGCTGCTTCCAGATCCCCACGACTTTGATCTCCTCGTCCAGCACTGGAGCAAATAAAGCCAGTTCTCTCAGCGAAAAAGCAGGGAGTCATGAGCTACAGAACCTGGACGAGGATTCCTCGACCGCGAGCACGCCCAGCACACGGGACAGTTCGTCGGACGGAGCGGGTGCCACGTTGATGTCTTCGCCCAACAAGGAAAGCCGAGCCCGCGCGACAGAGGCTGAAGACGACACGACCTTCCTAGACCTTTCGGACATCATGGGGGCGATGACCTTCGGGGGTGAGGATGATGAGAGCGAAGGGAATTATACTACGGATCAGAATCCCAACAAAGCCACCAGTGCGCCGACACAACCATCATCTTCATCGCACCACCAGGCGAGCGCCGCTACTGCTTTCTGGACCGAGAGCAACGGGAAGTTGGTCCAGAAATACGCTGCGACCGCGTTGTATCCGAAGGTGCCGAAGACTCTGCGCGGTCTGGTCGGGCAGGCGATGAAGGACTTTGAGATGGTCCAACCGCACGACCGGCTGCTGCTCGGCCTGTCCGGGGGGAAAGACTCGCTGACGCTGCTGCACGTGCTGCTCCACCTGCAAAAGTGCTCCCCCATCCCGTTCCAGATCGCCTGCGCGACCGTGAACCCGGAAACCCCGGAGTACGACCCCAGCCCGCTGCGGGACTACTTGAAAGCGTTGAACGTGGAGTACCACGTGCTGTCCAAGCCGTTGATCGAGCTGGCGAAGGTGGCGATGAACCCGAAGAAGCCCTCCATCTGCAGCTTCTGCGCGCGCATGAAGCGCGGCATGCTGTACACCTGCATGCGCGAGCACGGGTACAACGTCCTGGTCCTCGGCCAGCACCTGGACGACCTGGCGGAGTCCTTCCTCATGTCCTGCTTCCACAACGGCGCGCTGCGGACCATGAAGGCCAACTACGCAATCCAGAACCAGGAGGCCGGCGCGATCCGCGTCATCCGCCCGCTGGTGTACGTGCGGGAGAAGGTGATGGCGCAGTTTGCGGAGGAAAACAAACTCCCGATCATCGCCGACAACTGCCCCGCCTGCTTCGCCGTGCCCAAGGAGCGCCACCGGGTGAAACTGCTCCTGGCCAAGGAGGAGTTTGTGCTGCACGACCTGTTCTCGAACTTGCTGAAATCCATGCGCCCGCTGATCGCCGTCAAGCACGCGCGGATCGACGACGACGAGTTTGTGGTGCGGGGCGAGCAGGGATTTCTGTGCGACAAAATGAAGAACAACGGAGAGGACGTCGGAAGTAGAAGGCCTAATAGTTACGACGGGGATAAAGTAGATCGTGATACGAAGAACGAACGGCAAGGCCAGAAACTTGAGTCTTCCACTCGCATGGTCGAGGGACGAATAACGGCAGCGGACGAAGACGCCGCCGCAGAGGAAGCTTTGACAAAATGCGGCGTGGACGGAGGTGCGTGCGCGAGGAGCTTGCCATGCGCTCGCGGTGCATTGGTCGACGAGACTGACGGTTTGGAAAAGAACTGAATTGGTTCTTTTCTGGCAAAAGCGCAATGCGTCTCGTGACATTCAAACGAACAATAACGACTCTGCTACGCACGAAATATTATCTTGCTTCAAATCAGCAGCGCAACACCATGATGCATCGAAAAATGTTATCTAACTAACTGCCCTTCTATCTTCAAAGCAGAGCTGATGTCCTCTCGCATCTTCGTGTATTGTGCGCGTACTTCTTGCACACTGTTCGCCTCTGTTGCCTTGTCACATACGTGAAATTCTAACGATCTCGCGTCGATTACGATTTCTTGCTAATAATGCGGTTCGTTGTACACACGTATGCAGTGGCTGTCATTTCGGTCAGATTTTCATCTACTCGTAAGGAACCTGAAATAAAGCAATTTAGAATCTGGCTTCATGTCGCCTGAAGAACGAAAGAACTACAGTCAGATAGAACGTTTAGTACAGCTAGCGCAGTCGTCTTCGTCGTGAACAAAAAACATACCTCATTTCTACCATGTCGCAAAACTGCATTTTGTCGTATTCAAGCTAAAAGAGCCTCACCAAATGCCGAACAGGAATTCGTGTATAAAGCACTTCCAAATCGTGAACGTCGTTGAAAAACTCAAACTGCTGACTTCATTGATCTTTTAGCTCGTAGCGGCACAGTCTTTTCCGCTTTTTGAAGATCCAAGCCGGAACAAAAAATGTCGTGGTTTTTTTCCGATCTATCTTTCGTGAATATCGTGAAAGGAACTACCGGATGTCGTTTTGAATCGTAGACGCATGCCACCGTGAGTAACAGAAACCAAATTGCCAAAAATCGCCAGCTCTTCTTTTTTTTTGTTTCTGGGGGTTTTCGTTTTTGGGTCAACGGTTTTTATTTTTTTTCGTGTGTCGTTTTTCAAATGGGACTGCAGGTGTTATTCTAATTTTGTTGTACGACTAATCGCTACTATTTTCACGTCTTTGGATGGACTAAAATGCGCACTTCGGACTCTCTCACAATACGGGCACGTGGAGCGAATGCGGTCTTTCGGCGCCGACCCAGGAATCGAGGTTAGAAGTCATTGTGTTGTTTCCGTTATGCTTGAGGTACAGGTATAGGTAATTCTCATTCTTTCGTTTTTTTACTGTGGTGATATGTAGTGAGGTCACCGAACGGTTCTAACCAGGGAGTTTTTTTGCCATATACCCTGCAAAACGACCGGCAGTTTTCAAGCGGCCGGAAGCGTTTTTGGACATGAAAAATTTTCAATTATCAAGCGGCTTTGGCTGTGTCGGCACCGAATCGCCAGCGGATTCTATCGATCGCCGCTGGGTACACCGACGCAGACAAGCCAGCAAAAGGGGCGCCCTTCTGAGGCGCCCACCGCCTCAGTTTCTGGCGGTTTGGGGCGTCCAAAAAGGGGCGCGAAAAAAACGCGCCCAAAATCAGAACAGCGAAAAAGCATGGCACGGCCGCGATTTCGGAGCATTTTGGGCGGCCGCGAAAGCGGCCGAATTTTCGCCGGTCTCAGAGCCTGGGAAGCTTTGCAACAAGCGCCGGCGCGAAAAATAAAAACGCAAAAAAGCAAAAGCGCGCCAGACGCGCAAAGCCAACCCGCATGCTACGGGCCCGATTTCCCTTCGCGTTTTGGGCGCCCCCTGTGGCACCCAGATCGGCCCCATAGCATGGGGGCTGGCTTTTGGAAAGGAATATCGGGAATTTGCTAAAATTTGCAACGTTTATAAAGCGGCCGCCATACCGTGCGGCCTAACGTTACTCACGACGGTATGGCGAACCCAGGAAAAGCACAGCCGCCGCCAAAGCGACGGCCGGCAAGAAAACGGCCACGACCTCACTACCTCCGCCCCGGCGGCTATATTTGGTATTTTTCCATTAGCGTAGAATGATAGAACGAAGCAGCATCAGTCCCCTAACTATTGTAGGTACACAAAATCCAATATTCTTTGCCGCGGGCCTCGATCGCCGGTGAGGTGTGAGGGCCGTTGCAGCGCGCCGCCGCCCCACGTGCAGATACAGGAGGCCCCGCTGTCCTGGTGCGGTCGTCTGTCACACGTGGGTCCGCCGTGCGATGCTGGCAGTAGCTTTTAGTACTACAAATAACGACGTGAAATAGCATGAAAAAGCACGACTCGTACAGAAATTCACTTTCTGCCGCGGGCCTCGATCGCCGGTGAGGTGTGAGGGCCGTTGCAGCGCGCCGCCGCCCCTCGTGCAGATACAGGAGGCCCCGCTGTCCTGGTGCGGTCGTCTGTCACACGTGGGTCCGCCGTGCGATGCTGGCAGTAGCTTTTAGTACTACAAATAACGACGTGAAATAGCATGAAAAAGCACGACTCGTACAGAAATTCACTTTCTGCCGCGGGCCTCGATCGCCGGTGAGGTGTGAGGGCCGTTGCAGCGCGCCGCCGCCCCTCGTGCAGATACAGGAGGCCCCGCTGTCCTGGTGCGGTCGTCTGTCACACGTGGGTCCGCCGTGCGATGCTGGCAGTAGCTTTTAGTACTACAAATAACGACGTGAAATAGCATGAAAAAGCACGACTCGTACAGAAATTCACTTTCTGCCGCGGGCCTCGATCGCCGGTGAGGTGTGAGGGCCGTTGCAGCGCGCCGCCGCCCCTCGTGCAGATACAGGAGGCCCCGCTGTCCTGGTGCGGTCGTCTGTCACACGTGGGTCCGCCGTGCGATGCTGGCAGTAGCTTTTAGTACTACAAATAACGACGTGAAATAGCATGAAAAAGCACGACTCGTACAGAAATTCACTTTCTGCCGCGGGCCTCGATCGCCGGTGAGGTGTGAGGGCCGTTGCAGCGCGCCGCCGCCCCTCGTGCAGATACAGGAGGCCCCGCTGTCCTGGTGCGGTCGTCTGTCACACGTGGGTCCGCCGTGCGATGCTGGCAGTAGCTTTTAGTACTACAAATAACGACGTGAAATAGCATGAAAAAGCACGACTCGTACAGAAATTCACTTTCTGCCGCGGGCCTCGATCGCCGGTGAGGTGTGAGGGCCGTTGCAGCGCGCCGCCGCCCCTCGTGCAGATACAGGAGGCCCCGCTGTCCTGGTGCGGTCGTCTGTCACACGTGGGTCCGCCGTGCGATGCTGGCAGTAGCTTTTAGTACTACAAATAACGACGTGAAATAGCATGAAAAAGCACGACTCGTACAGAAATTCACTTTCTGCCGCGGGCCTCGATCGCCGGTGAGGTGTGAGGGCCGTTGCAGCGCGCCGCCGCCCCTCGTGCAGATACAGGAGGCCCCGCTGTCCTGGTGCGGTCGTCTGTCACACGTGGGTCCGCCGTGCGATGCTGGCAGTAGCTTTTAGTACTACAAATAACGACGTGAAATGGCATGAAAAAGCACTCGTACAGAAATTCACTCTCTGCCGCGGGCCTCGATCGCCGGTGAGGTGTGAGGGCCGTTGCAGCGCGCTGCCGCCCCTCGTGCAGATACAGGAGGCCCCGCTGTCCTGGTGCGGTCGTCTGTCACACGTGGGTCCGCCGGGTGGGATCTGAAATTTTGGCAGGACAGACGCAGCATGAGGCAGCTGGAGGAAGACGGAAGACTGAGGCAGCCTTCACGGATCCACCCGTGTTTGGTGCGGAAGGTGCGGGAGCGGAATAACAGCGTGGGCTTTGTTTCTTTTATTTTGACCTTCTTGCGGGGGCTGTGGCAGAATTCAACGAGAACGAGAACTACCTGCAACACAACACATCGATGCGGGAGTTGCGCCTGAAGCTGATGAACAAGCGGTACAAGAAGAACATAGAAGATCATCCAGTCTGCTAGGCGCATATGATTCGCGGTATTCTTCATCTTTTTTTTCACTAAAGTTATCTGTGCAGGAGCTGTGCGTAAGTATAAATTTCGTTGAGAACGTGTACTACCTGCAACACAAAACATCTATTCAGGACGTGTACCGCCCGGAAAAAGCGTGGAGCCGTCCGACTGTTTGTTTGCGTCGAACAACGCCGGGATCTCACCAGGAGCCATGCGCTGCAGTTTTTGCTATGACGTCGGCGGTATTATCTATCTTTTTTTTTTGATTACGAAGTTCGTTTTCAACATCCACGATTTCAATACAGCACTCGACAACATTGCACCGCATAATTCTCGTAGAATATGAGCTACCTGCGATTCGAAATATCGATTCAGGATTTGCAGCTGCCGGACTAGGGGACGGATGGCGATGTCAAGAAGTGGTTGCCATGCCGAATTAGTCGCGTTGCCGGTGCCTGCGCAGGACCCCTACGTCTAGTGAATAGGGTCGTCGAGCAGGTCATCAAGGAAGAGCTACGGCCGCACAGGTGCTTTTTATTGTTTTATTGCGGGGCCTTGGCCTTCTGGTCACTTTCTTTTCCAGCCTGAATGTTGATTGATGCGTACTGCATTTTGTAGAAGACAGCGGATAACTTGCGCGCATGTACCCGAAAACCAATTGTCAGGGAAGGGTGCTGAAACTGCCGGTAGGTCCTCGCGTGGGCGGGTAAACGACACGGCTTTTTTCGATGAGGTGCTTTGCTTTGTTGTTTGCATGATGCGACGATGGTGTTGCATGCATGTGATTATCTCTTACACTCTACAGTTCAACTTTAAGTGAGCGAGCGTTTTGCGTTTCAGAATGGAGCTGCGGGCCATAACCTGGCCGCCGCGCCCCAGCACTTCC